AACTTTATTTTCTGGTCTACGTTAACCCCCACCCTACCCACCACCACTCTGTTCTCTTCTAGCTTCCCTGACCTCTTGATTCTGTCTGTTGTTACCTTCAGTTGCTAATTATGAGGGTTTTAAATATATATATATATGATTTATTTCATGATTAGGGTTGAACCCAGCGCAAACTAAGGAAGCCTATGCAAATGTGATGAATTTGCATCACACCCATCCTGTTACGGAATTCTTATCTCCTGCCTGCAGACAACGTTGGGCCTTTTAGTTTTTTCATCTAGCCTTTCAGATCTGCTGAACAGTCACTCTTCGGCCGATAGGAGCAAGCGTTGTGTGATACCAATACTGTACAGCTTAGAGAAGTTATTTTTGGGATTATAGGGCTGAAGCACACCCTGACTACCATCGCTCTCCACCCCCCCCACCCCCAGCATGCCTTGAAAAGTAACTTTTCCAAGCTCTGGGTACAAAAAGGCAGGATCGTCAGAGCCCAGGAGGGCAGGGATCCTTGTCAAACCAGCAGTTGATCAGGTTTTTAGGAGCCACCGGTGCCTAGAGCTTAAGGCTGCAGAAGGGGACCAGGAAGAGAAGGCCAGGGCAAGGACGGGCCACATTCCAGTAGCCTTGGCTGAAGATCTGGGGGGGCTTGGGGGGGATAGCCAGGATACCCCAAGGTCAAGGCTGGGAGTCCTTGGACCGAAATGGCCGAGGCAGGAGGTGCCGCCCAAGACAGATGGGCCAAGGGGGTCTCGGGTCCCAAGGCAGCAGAAGAGGGAGCAACGCAGCTTGACAGGACTCGGGGGCTAAGAAGCCAGTTGTGGGGCGAAGGCTTGGCCACAAGTTCTGCAGAAAGGTTTCTCTGCAAAGTGCTGGATCCTAGTTTGCACCGGGGCATCCCCTGCGGGCCCGCTCCACCAATCCCCGTTCTCCCCTGGCGGCCAAGGAATCTAGGAGGGCTTTTTGCAACCTTTGGCCCTCGCTGTGCTGGAAGCGTTGGAGCCTCTACAGTGTTTGGCTTGCCAAGCAGGGGCTCCTGCACTGCGCGGTGGCCCCTCGCTGGAGGCAAGTGGGATCCAGGAAGCTGCCTTCTCCCTTGTCAGGCCCTGGGTGGATTTTGCCAGAGAAGAACGACTCCCATTCATCCCGCTTGCACAGGCAACCAGACTCTTCCCTCGCCTAGCACACACGCGCGTGTGCGCACACACACGTTTTAACACACCACCTTCCCCCCTCCCTTCCCCTTCCGGCCCTGGGGTTCATAGAAGGGGGAAAGGGGGAGCCAGTTAGCATCTGCAGAGTTAACTTTGTCACCTCATCTCAGATTAGTGCAAGTTCTTCCTTACAATCACGGCAATTTTTTAAAAAAAGAAATCCATCCTTGTTATCAAGGGTGGGGTGGGGAGCAAGGGAGGGAGGGGGGGCCAGAGGGAGCCCCGGCTAATCGTCTAAGCGGGAGAGTCTTGGAGTGAGTGTGTTTCTGGGCTCATCCCCTCTCTGTAAAGCCAGCCTTCAGTAATTCAGTTTTAAAGCATGAAAAAAGGGAGTTGATGAAATTCCACTATCAGCACTGAACCAATATGCAAAATATCTCGCCGAAAATCAAATAGCTATTATGTTTTCATTTCCATTTCAGCGTATTTGCCTAATGAAGAATAGACAGATCAGGCTGGCGGAGGGAGCCTGCGTGAGGTGATAACTCCTCAAGGCTTCCAGCAATCCCACAGAAATGACGCTGGACGGCCTGCCTTTGCCGCTTGCCACCGCTTTCTTCGGCTCTTCTCTTCCCTCGCTCTCCCTGCACCATTTTCTTGATATTTCCCCCCCAAAATCTTTTTTTCTTCTGCCAAAAAAAAAAAATCTCGCCAGCACGATTAACTCAAACAGTTTTGCACAGGGAGGGCTGGTGGCCCCGTTCGAGGTGCTGCCATTCAGCAGGAGGGAGGGGTGGCTTGGTGCAACACTTCCCCCCCCCCTTTCTCTCTCTCTCTCTCTGTCTCAGGAATGGGTGATGGAGCAGAAGGCTCTAGGGGCAATGATCCCCAGCAGCATCTCCAGGCAGGGCTGGGAAAACTGCAGCCTGAAGCCCTGAAGAGCCATTGCTACTGCTGCCAGTCAGTGCTAGCGATACTGGGCTAAAGGGGCCCGTCGTTTGCCCCTCTATGAGGTGGGGTTGGGTGGATGGCCAGCGTCCTGATCCTGTGGCAGAGGAGCCGCTTCTAGGCTGGCTCTCCCGGTAGGGCTGGGGAAGGGCCCGCCCTGACTGCCGGTCCAAGTTGGGAGCACTGGCCTGGCTCGGAGCAGGACGGGCCTGGTTTCTGAGCCAGGCAACCTCCTGGATTCCTCATTCCCTTTGGCAGGGCGGTTGGGCTCCTTCCCTCCCATCCCCACATTGAGCACCACTGGAGCAAGCCAAAGGCGGGCAGAAGGGAGGAGCGTCTCTCGGGCGCCCCCCCCCCACGAGCCATCTAGAGGTTCCTCCTGAAGCTCCCTTTGGGTTTCCTTTTTCAAGAACGGGAAACTGGCTGTTTTCCCATCCCTGTGTCTGGAGCCTCAACAAACAGGCTGGCTCCCTCTTCCCCGTGACGGACAGCTCTTCTGGTCCTTGGAGTCGGCTGCCGCATCTGCTCTCCCTTCTCCCTCGGAAGGGAGCCCCTCCTGCCCTCTTGAGCGCTTCTCTGTTAGACGCAATGGGGCCAGTGGCTGTCGCCCTTTTGGCCTCCCATTGTTCTGGACCTCTGAGTCTCAGAAGCACCGGCCAGCACCCGAGGGCTGAGAAGCGCCACTCAGCCTACGTAGGGCCAAAGGGTCTGGACGGCTGCAGGTCAGGTGCCGGGGCCCTCAGCTGGCCAGCAGCACTGGGACCAGTTGCTGTCCTTTGGAACTAGATGCAAGGATGGGGTGGGCAGAGGCCTTAATAGGGTTGGTCACGTGACCCGTCGGCCTTGTCCAATGTTGGCCCAGGTCCTTCCTCCATTCAGCCTCCGGATCTCAAGATTCTCAGTCGTTTTGCCAACCGGTTTGCTTGCCCGGAAAGGCTTAGAGTGTTGTTTTTAAAAAAAAAATTAGGAAGGAAAGCCACGTTCTGCAGGAGGTGGTGGTAGTGATTGTGCAGTGTTGTGCCTTGTGCCCCAGAAGGAGTTGTGTGGTGTGTGAAGAACGCTGCAGTGAAGGCCAGTTCTCTGAGCGCTGTTTGGTATTTGCTGGCAGAATGTAGGGCTGAGCTTGTGCTTATTCATAAACACACTCTCTGTTCATTAAGGGAAATCCATACAGGACTGGGCAGGAGGGCAGCTCTCAAAAAAAAAAATCCCAAGGGGTCTCTGGAGGCATCTTCCATGTGTCTCGCTAACCACAAAGGGAAGGGGAAGGAGCAGAGAGGAAGGAAGCCTAAGAGTGCCAGTGTACATGTCAATCTAGAAAAGGTGGGAGGACCTACTAGGGCCGACTTTCCATCTGTCCATAGCCTTCCTCCCATTGATTCTGGCCACTTGCTCCTTGTGCTGGTGGTCCGTTCCAGTGAGTCCCACTGTTGTTGATTTCTCCCCACACCAAGGAGGTCCTAGACCACTGGAGAGGCGTACATGCGCACTCACACACATCCCACAGGCAGCCTCTACCTGGGGAGCCTTGCATACAGGAAACTCCGAACTGACCCCTGCAAGAAAGGGCTGGATGGGAGGAAGCGGGCAGAGCGGGCAGAGCAGGCAGGCGGGCGGAGGTTGCAGGCGCTCTGCATTCCTCCAGACCTCAGCCCTTCTCTGTGACTCCAGGCATGTATATTTATGCTGGGAGAACAAAGGGCCCATAATCTATACAAAGCAGACAACAATGAGCGTGAATAAAGAGGCTGCCGGAGAAGGGAAGGCAATTTATTCTAATTCTACTAATTTCAGTTCCAGGACAATTAAAAAGGCTCTGATAATATTCAGAAACAATCGCCAGCTAACAAATCGTTTCTCTCGCTGTAAATGAAACATCGTTAGGCTAATTTTTTCTTTCACGCCTTTACGGCTCTTGGGTTCTGATAAAGTTAACCCACTCTCTCCTTTTTCCTGCCTCTTGGCCTAAGTCGCCCCCCCCCAGCCGTTTCCTTCCACCCGGATGCAGCCCGTTGGAGGCTGGAAGGGACCCGGTTGGCAAAACGGAGCCTGAGGAAGGGGATTCGGGCCCACAAGTGCTCCTCTTGGGACACATTGGAGAGTCCTTAAGGTGCCACCACATGGGGCCCGTTGCTTCCCCCCCCCTTTTTATGCCCCCCTCTTGCATCTTGTCAAGATGCTAATGCCACGGCCTCTGTGGAAACTGGCAGGGCCACGTGTGGCACAAAAGCAGTGGTGGTTCCCTCATGTGTGATCATGGACGGAGATTAACATCTCTCCCTGGTTTCATGGCAGAGCCTCACCTTGTCCTTACCCAACACAGGGTGACTAAACCTTTTAACAGGGAGGGAGGGAGGGAGGGAGGAGCTGGTGATGGATGGATGGATGGATGGAACGAACGAACGAACGAACGAACGAACGAACGAACGAACGAACGAACGAACGAACGAACGAACGAACGAACGAACGAACGAACGAACGAACGAACGAACGAACGAACGAACGAACGAACGAACGAACGAACGAACTGAGTTGGCTGAACGGTGTCCCAGTGCTCATTGGTGCAGGCAACGGAGTGATTCAGAACTGGGTCTCAAACCTAGGAGACACGAAGGGTTATTGTGTTGGCTCCCCTTCCTCGTTCCCTTGCTTAACTCTTTGGCTACTTTTACTTCTCGGGATTTCACCCCCATGCTGCCATCCCATCCCACACTAAATGCCAACATCAGTCGGTTTGCCACTTATCTGGAGTGATCTCCCGAGCGTACCCATCCGCAAGGGCAGCGCCAGGCTTTTCGGGCCATTAGCTGGACTGGTCTGCCTTCCTTCCTTTATTTCTTTGTTTATCTGGATGCACAGAGAGCCCCACCTGATTTCTGATTGCATTCCTGGCCTTTGCAGGCACCTTGGGAGAGATGGAAGAAGGAGACGACGCCCCTTTGGAGGACAACAGCCAATCGGAAAACGAGGGCGGAGCTTCTGACCACGAGGGCTCTGTGGGAGGCGAGTCACCTGAGTCATCCTGCAGTGGCGGTGAGTTCCTTTGGCCCGCCTTCCTTGCCTCTCATTGCTGTGCTTGTTCTGTTGAAGGGCTGGTGGGGGAAAGGCCGTCTGCCTTTGCACAGAGGCACTTTTAAAAACGGAGGTTGCCTTTGCCTCGGGCCTCCCAGGGGCTGGAGGAGTCACAGTCCAGTAGCAGGGCTGGCGTTCAGTTTCAGGGGCTGCACATAGGAGGTCAAAGTTCCTGTCCCTTTCCTGGCCTGGCAGAAGGAGATGTCCACTCTAGTGCCCTGGGTGTGGGGGACGCTCTCAGTGGGTCCAGGGGCTAGAGCTCAAAGACATGATATCACAGAATCTCTTGCTGGCCAAGAGTTCTGCTTGCCTAGGATAACCTTTCCCTCTCTCTTCTTAATTTAAACTGTGCTGCAATAATACTCACTGCTTTAAACAACAACAGCAACAACAACATGTCAGAAAATGATGAAGTCAAGGTCTTGTGGGATTTCCAGATCCAAGCTGATAAACACCTTGAACATAACACGGCAGACATAGTAGTAATAGAACAAAGAAACATCTGGATCATTGACCTTGCAATTCCAGGGGATGCCAGAGTTGAAAATAAAAGATTGGAAATACAGAGAATACAAGAATTGAAATGCAGGGACCTGGCCATCGAAACATCTTGCTTGTGGATCAAACACACTTCAGTGGTCCCCGTAGTTATCAGGGCTTTGAGAATAATGCAGACATAGTAGTAATAGAACAAAGAAACATCTGGATCATTGACCTTGCAATTCCAGGGGATGCCAGAGTTGAAAATAAAAGATTGGAAATACAGAGAATACAAGAATTGAAATGCAGGGACCTGGCCATCGAAACATCTCGCTTGTGGATCAAACACACTTCAGTGGTCCCCGTAGTTATCAGGGCTTTGAGAACAATATCAGTTTTCACACAGTATTATAAGCCGTTGCAGATCTCAGAAATCACACCATTAGAGCTACGAAAAATGGCAGTATTAGGAACAGCATACATACTGAGCCGATATTTCACAGATACTTTGGTTTTGGGTTTAAACTTGTATCTGTTATATAATACTAGTCAATGCTTTTTATCATTTTGATGGACTGTGCCTGGTGTTTTTGAATGACAGTAACAGCACCCAAGCTTTTTCATGAACATTGTCTTGGAATAGATCTGTGAAGAACCTCAGTCCTCCAGGTGAGGTTATCTGGAAGTTGGGTCATGGCCACTGGACTTCTTTCTTATTAGGTTGCACCCAGTAACGAAGAAGTCCAGTTGCCATGACTCAACTTCCAGATTCCCTCGGAATCCTTGCTCTGGGATGTTGATCAGTCTATAATTATCTTCGTGGTGAGAGTTCCTCTCAGCCCCCCCCCCCCAAAAAAAGGGACTTTGTGAGAGAAACCACTTTCAAACCGGGGAGCTTGGTGACGTGTAGATCCCGGGCTCCCAGCTCCAGCAGAGGCTCCCTCTGCTCCAGTTCCGGTCCCTGCCAATAAATTCTGCTCTCTTTCTCGGCAGCAATTTATAATCTAATTAAGGGGTTGCATTTCTTGCTTCTGTGGCCTGAAACACTCTGTAGAAACCTGCCTTGCTCATGGGACCAGCAGAGCATCTGAGGGCTAGATCCACTTTTAACCTGGACCCGCTGTAATCCCCTTCTCACCCCTTCCCCTCTCTTCCGATCCCTTTTCATCATCATCGTTTCAGGGCATCAAACCCTCCAAGCTTTCTCCTTAAGGGAGAGCTTGTTCCAGGTCCTGCTTTGATTATCATCCTGATAAATGTCAGACTTTAGTTGGTGACCGTTGCCCATCTAATCTCTCCCCTTTACTCACACATCAGCACACCATGAGCGCCCTTCGACGTGGCATGCACCCATTCCTCCCTCCCCTCCCCAGGGTGGGAAAAAACACGGGGAAGTGAGGGGCGCGCACGGCAGGGTGAAGGGCCCAGGGGCTTCTCTGGGAATAGGCCTGGTGCACACCAATCCAAGTGGTTCTGTGGAGTGGAAGTGAGACACTCCTCTATCTGATTCTGGAGGAAAGCCCCAGGCGGAGATGGGAGTGTGGGGGGGGGGCGACGGCGGCGGCTGGGGTGAGAGCGATGGGAGCTCCAGCGCAAGTGTGCACCTGGCACTAGCAGGCCCCGATAAAAGGAGGCGATAGCGGGCGATAACGTCCCGGCTGCAATAACGGCTGCTCCCATGGCACCGAGCAAAAAGCTTTCAGCACGATGGATAACAATCAATATGCCAGCTGCTTTGATTTATAGCCAAAAATAATGGGACTTTTACACTTGGCGATTGATTTATTTGATGTTAATCACCACCTCCCCCTCCGTCCCTTATCACCTGTATTAATAATCGCCAGGGGCTGGTGACGTCACCGTCCCCTTCCCCCACCCCCGTGCCCTTTACAGGACCCATCGATTGGGACGTGCTCTCTCTCTCTCTTTTTTTTTTTGCAGCGGTTCTTGGATGCAAAGGCAAACATGCACTCTGGCCGGTCATCTGTCCTGCCGTCTCAGGAAGGAAGCCTTATCAGCCGCTGCATCGCCAGCAGCCATTAATGGGGAAAATAATTGTCACTCTATGGCCTGAGTGCCCCTCTTTGGAGGCGGGGGGAGGGGCTTGAGGGTGCTGGGAAGCAGGGGCAGAATCCGGCCCCTCCCTGCCCCACATCGTCCGGGAAGGATGGGTCGTTTGTGTGACAGGCTGTGAGCCAAGCCTTCTTTTCCCAGGGCGGAGTGGCACTGACGCTTGACTTCCGCATCCACACGACGTGAGCCACGAGTGGAGCATTCTGGGAATATTCACGGGCTGCCCGCTGATCCAGGCCTTCAGCGGGCGCTCCCTCCGCGCTCAGAGCCGTGCCTGCTCGGGGCGGCTGAGTCCACCCTCTTCTGGGTCTGCCTTGCCGGGGGGGGGCGAGTGGGGGGGGGAAATCCACCTTTTTCTTTTTGTAAATACATAGAATGTTTTGGATCTCTCCCGATGAAATGGCAATTTCATCAACCTGGCGTTTTGGTGCCGCATTTTCTCTGTAAGTCATTTTAAAAGCTCTTTGGTGAGTCTTGTAACATCTTTTGTTTTAAAGCTTTGTGGATTTTATCTGCTCCTTGGTCCGGTTTGTCTTCTCATCGGTGGTGCTGTTTCAAAATGTCATGAGCTGCCTTCGTTGTTTTACGGGGTGTGCCTCTCATGCTGGCGGAAGGGGCTTCTCTGACTATAAAGTGAAGCTTGAGACTGGAAGAGCAATCGCAGAGAAGCCTCAGAAGCCAGGAAGGGAGCATGCGATGAGGGCCACTCAGTGGCCGCAAAGGCGTGGCTCCCTATGCATGGCAGGACTGTGGCTCCCATCAGTTCTGACCAACTTAGCCAGTGGCAAAGGATGATGGGTGTTGCAGTGAAGCAACATCTGGAGGTTTCCCTCTTTCCACTTCCTTGGCATTATGCCCTACTTCCTCCCCACTGCGTTTCCTGCACAAGCCTCTTTAAGGTTGTGTTTTATTGTTTTGTGAGGCAAGCCCCTCAAAGAGCAATTGCACCAGCTTTATTTAAATGTTGCACTAAATTTTTTGGGGGGGAGTGGAGGAAGAGAGAAAGAGATGCAAATGCTTTTAATTTGAATAATTTCTCCAGATCTTAGAAGGCTGTTCTTGGTGCAGAAGAGAGACTTCACAGAAATGTCCTAGAATCATGGCGTTGGAAGGGGCCTCGGAGGCCATCGATCCCAATCCCCTGCTCAAGGCAGGGATCCCGATCCAAGCAAATCTCACAGAGGGTGGTCCAATTTTCTCTTGACAGCCTCCAGCAACGGAGCGCTCATAGCCTCCTGAGGTCATGGATTCCGTTGTCCTCCTTCTTTAAAGAGTAGAGCTTTGCTGGCCTTTAAACCTAGTAGAACATAATGCAAGGAATGAAATCTATATACAATCTAATGTTGGGGTGCATTTAAACCAGGAGAACAGGGGAAGGTCTCCCCAGACGGGTCCAGAGGAAGTCCCTCCATTCTTATATTGTTGTGGGCCCTGTCGGTCGGCGAATGTCCAGTGACTTTTCCAAACAGGTAGCATGATTCTAGCAAGCCTTAGAATCCCAGAAGTCAGACTGGAAAATGAAGCCTCTTCCTGATGACCAGTAACAAGAATAAAATAAAACACTAAAAAAGCAAGCTGGCCTACGTATTTTTGAAGGTATGGAAAGCTCCTGTGGGTGACCATCAGATCCTTTCTTCCTTTAAGGAGCTCCCTGTTCTGATACGTGCTCCTCTCTTATATAGAGCACGACACGTGGTTTGCATGAGATGCAGCCTCTTGCAAACCCACTTGGTCGGGGGCAAGCATCGTGCAGCCTGGCCCCATGGCTCATCTCACTAGCAGGGAGGGACCCGATGGGAATCCGCACGCTGGCTGTGTTTTGTTCCCTGGACTTGGGTGATGCCTTTTGGGTCACTTTTTGTGGTTTCGATTTCAGGGGCTGAAGCCAAAGAGAACTCCGAGGGTCTGAAGGAGCCCGAGAAGGCAGAAAAGGCTCAGGAGCTGGAAGAATGGCGCGGGCCAGGTAAAGCCCTTCTCTTCCTCCTTTTTCTTTAGCCTCTCTTGCTTTTAAAAAAAAGTCCCTTTCAGACTCATCCAGGTGGGACAAGAAACCACCTGCAGAGAATGGGCGTCCCTACACGGCAGCCTCAAAGCTCTGGGGAAGGGGGTGGAAGCTTTCCTGTGGCCCCAAGGCTCCGTGGCTCTGGGTAAGCCACCTCCACAAAACACCCGCTTCTGACATGGGAACAGACTCTTGACATCAGTTTTCGTATCACACCCTTCATCCATGACATATCTTTTTAATATATATACAGTGGTGCCTCGCAAGACGAATGAAATTTATTCATCTTGCGAGGCATTGGTCTTGGGGGGGGGGAACTTCTTGTGAAGCATGGCCATAGAAGAAACTGTATTGCGAGGCACCATAGCAGTCGCTAAAACCAATCATCTTGCGGGTTTTTCGGCGAGGCATTCGTCTTGCGAGGCACCACTGTATATATTCTTTGCTTGATACTTGCTGGATAGCTCAATGGCTGAGTCTCTAAACCAGAGGTTGGGAGTTCGATTCCCCCACTGGGGTCTCCTTGAGAGAAGCTGGACTTGGATGATCCAGAGGGTCCCTTCTAGCCCAGAAGTTCAACGGTTATTATTATTATTATTATGTTGCTGTTTTTAAGAAAAGGACAAGGCGTTTTCTCATTAGGTAATTCAGAAGAAGGGTCAGCCATTTGCGGTGAGCAAAGTCTGTCTTGCCATTTGCCTTGGGCCGCCGTTGTGAAAGCCTGGGCTCTTCCCGGTTTGGGTTGGGCCTCCAAACACACCTTAAGGTAAAGAGCCATGGATGTTGTGGAAGATGCCGGCTTGCAGCTGGAGGGACACAAGAGGCTGGCTGCGGTTTCTTCAGTGGATTTCCTCTGTCAGCTAACATAGTGCTTCTGGGAGTAGCTGGCTGGGCCAGAATCCGACCTTTCCATTTGCTGCCTGGGAATGTGGGATGAGCTGGCATGGGGAGCCCCAGCTGTTCATGAAGCTGAGCGTAGCGGATGAGAAGGGAGGGAAGGCTGTTGCCAAAGCTTCAAAAAGGGGCAGCTGGATAGATTCCCAGGCTGAGAGAGAATCTGCAGGCATCTGTGTTCCATTGGAGACGTCTCTCTTGGGGCTTGTGTTGCATCACACACAGTCCTCCTGATGGTGGGACAGCTCAGCGCAGTCTCCGTTGGAAGAGGCCAGCACCCTCACTCACTCACGGCCTCTGCCATTGCCAAGGGGCGCATCCCCGTGCTGGGCCAAACATCCCCGGATCTGAACTGCACCAGGCCACCCAAACCCCTCTGTTTTCCTGCTTTCTTTTTCCTTTATCCTTGTGGATCGTTTCGCAGCTCCTGTCTTCAGACCTCCTTGTCTTACGGAATTTTTTACTTGAATCCTCGCAGACTTCTCTCCAGTGTACAGATTGCTTGGCCTGAGTGTGATTACACACACACACACACACACACCTCTACGCACACCCCGGCCCCTTCTTCCAGCCCTGGTGGCTTCTCAGTAGCTTTAAAAAGTGTTTGTCTGCTCCCACCCCCGTCTGTCTCCAGGTTCCAGGAAGGGAACTGTGTGTGTTCACGGCCAGGCCGATATCCCCAGCCTTTCCTGGATGCGTTGGCTGGTATCTGCCGGACATCCCGGCCCTTCTGCCGGCTCCTCTTCCTCTTCCTCCTCCTCCTGCTTTATCTGCTCTCTCTCTCCCACCTCAGCCCTTTGGCCCCTTAAGGCGGAGGGAGGGGAGGCTGGCCGGCTCCCCCTGGGATTCTCCTGGCCTTTGGCCTGGCCTTCTGCCCCAGTCCCCTCTCCTCCCCCCCCCACCACCCGCCACCCCCACTCCCAGTGTCTGGTCCCTCATCACCAGCACCACCAGCACCCTGGAGCCATCCTGGAGCCGTGAAGCGAGGGCAGGCGCACCCCTCAGACCCTTTTGAGAAAGCCATCGAGGGCTGGCGGGGCGAATCTCAGAGCCGGGCTCTGAGGACGTGGCCTGTCCGCACCTGCCGCTCAAGGAAAGGCCAGCCTCGTTTTGCCTTGACGTGGGCTGTACATCCTGGGGAGTGAGGCTTTGGAGTCACTGACGTCTCCTCCTCTTCCTCACCCCCAAGGACAGGGAGGAATTTGCAGCCACTCCCAGCACCAGGAGTGATGGTTTGCACAGGTTCCTGCACAGAAATGTGCCATTGGAAGAAAACGAAGGCCAGGGTGGCTTTGTTTCATGAAGCATTTGATGGGTTGCTCACATCTTTCTTCATAGCCAGTGGGTCCTTCTCCGCTTCCTGGATGGTTGCGTTTTGCTTACGACGGGGAAGGGGCGCCTCTTTTGTACCCCTTGCAAGGACCTGGAGGAGGAGGAGGGAGGGGGGAGCTTCCTCTCTGGCTTCTGGTGGGAGGCGAGGGGATCTCCTGGGCTTTTCAAATTCCTCCCTGAGACTGAATCCGGGAGGAGGGGAGTGAGTATAAAAACTCCTCGCCTTCCTCACCCTTGACCAGATGGTTGCCTGAGGACTCGTCTGCAAGCTTTTCTATGTAGGCATGTGTGAGAGGTCCAGCTTCCCACCGTGAGAGGGACGGTGCATTCTGCACGTGGTCAGACACACTCTTGTCTTAGGTGGATCCCAGGTGACAGGCAATTAAATAGCTCCCTTTCAGCCGGTCCCTAGAAATGGCCCTGGGGTGGAACCTGGGCTTACCGCCTGGAGCCCCAGAAGTCAGGGTGCCGTTGTGTTCCCCCCTCCCTCCCCCCTCCCTCCCCACTTTTCCTGGAGTTGGCCATTTGCATTCTTTATGTAAAAGAGATTTTATTATCGCCACTGTGCAGCCCATCTTCACTCTGGTAATTGGACTGATATTAATTTCTGTGCGGCTGGGAGTTGATGTGAGTCCGGCGATGCGGCGGCGATAGGCTTTTCCTTTCTGTGCTAACCACCACGGCGATAGGGTTTTCTATCTGTCTCCATGCAGGCACCGCACTTATCAGGAATGGAATGGGGGAAAGAAAAAAAAAGGAAAAGGAAAAAGGAAAAAAAAAAGAAAAGAAAAAGGAAACAACTTTGAGCAGCTTGAGTTTCTTCTCCTTTATCTGCCAGGATCCGCCATGTGTCAGCATTGGCAGGCCAGGGAGATGCTGCTGCCGCCACTGCCGCCAGGCTAGGGAGGGGGGGCAACCGAGGCAGGCGGAGGGCTGTCTCGTTGGGTCCCTCCCAGCTGCTGCTGCTGCTGGCGTGGGGGCTCCGAGCCTCCAGGCCACCTCGAGCACACCCCACCTCTCCTGGTTTTGGAGGCTAAAGAGGGCCAGGACCAGTTAAACAGAGACCTCCAGGTGTGGTTAAGGGCGTTGCCAGAAGACCCCCAAGAGCAGGCACGGCTGCCAGCCAGAGCTGACTGCATAGGGCTGGGTCAGCCCCAGGTAGCTTTGGGTAGCCTGTCTCTGTAGACAGGCCACAGACAGGGAAAAAGCTCACCTTGGCGCAGCCCGTGGTGGCCCCCACAGCTTCTCACATACCACTGCAGGCAGCTTTTCAGAGAGCAGGTGGGCTGTGGGGGGACGGAGGCTCAGAGGGAACAAGTCCCTTTCCCTTCCCCTGAGTGGCTACAGCAGGCGCCTTCTCCGAAAGCCAGCGCCCAGAGCAGGGGGAGCCTCACTTCCCCATTGTCCCATAGTCCCACCTAGACAACCAACAGGGACTGGGTGCTGGCGGGGTGGGGTGGGGTGGGCATGTTCTGAAAGGACGTCCTGGAGGTGGAGTTGGCTCGCACTGCCTCCTTCCTTGCCGTGCCCCGTTGTCCCAGTTGAAGCACAAGAGGGTGCTCGGTCCTCTTTCCCTTCCCCTGAGTGGCTACAGCAGGGGCCTTCTCCGAAAGCCAGCGCCCAGATCATGAGGAGCCTCACTTCCCCA